CCCGCGTCCAAGTCCCGAGCGACAACGCGCAACACCAGCGCGCCCACCGGGTTGTTCTCCCGCACGTACGCGCTGTACGACGCCTCCTCGAACACCGGCGCGTTGTCGTTCACGTCCGACACCTCCAGCACCAGCTCCGTGCTGCTCCACAGAGCCGGGCTGCCCCGGTCCCTTGCAGTGATGGTGATATTGTAAGTGGACACTGTTTCTCTGTCCAGGGCACTGGCTATTATTAGTTTATAGGTGTTCTCTGACGACATTTCCAATCTGAAAGGCAGATTTCCGTCCATGTTACAGCTCACTTCTCCATTTTCTCCCGAGTCTCTGTCACGAACATTGATCACAGCTACAACTGTGCTCGGGACTGAGTCTTCGGGTATTGGGTTCAAGATAGGCAGGAGAGAAATGGTTGGCACATTGTCATTTACGTCTGTAATGTCTATGTGTACTTTGGCTTGTGCAGTGAGTCCACCCCCATCCTTGCCTTCAACAGTCGCTTCATAATATTTCCCTTCTTCATAATCTAAGGGGCCTGTAACCTTCACATCCCCTGTCCTGGGGTCCAGAGAGAAGAGCTGGCGACCACTGTCTGCGATGTCACTGAAAGAGTAGGTGATTTCTGCATTTGTACCTTCGTCACTGTCAGTAGCTTTCACCTGAAAAGCTAAGGAGCCCTCTGGCATGTTTTCCATCAGTCGAACCTTGTAGATCTCTTTGGTGAATACTGGTGGGTTGTCATTTGCGTCTGTCACGTTAATCTTAATCTGGGCTGTCCCGGATCGGACCGGATCCCCGCCATCCAGCGCCGTCAGTATCAAATGGTGATTTCTCTGTTTCTCTCGGTCTAAGTTTTTCTCCAGTACCAGTTCCGCGTGTTTCGTCCCATCAGGGCTCTCCCTCACTAAGAGGGAGAAGAGTGGATTGGGGGTAAGTTCGTACTTCTGTAAAGAGTTTGCCCCAATGTCGGGGTCTCTGCCACTGCCCAGTGTGAACCTGCTCCCAGGAGGCGTCGACTCGATCATTTCTATGGTAACAAATTCTTTGTTGAACCGCGGCGCGTTGTCATTGATATCCTGGATAGTAACGCTCACATGAAACATGTCGAAAGGGTTCTCCATGACTGCCTCCAGGCGGAGGACACAGGGCGACACGGCCCCGCAGATGCCCTCTCGGTCTATCCTCTCGTTCACCCGCAGATTTGTATTACCTTCCCCGAGAGTGAAGTACTGCTTTTCGTCACCAGCGACTATCCGCAGCTTGCGCGCCGGCAGCTCGTCGGCGCTGAGCCCCAGGTCCCGGGCCAGCGGCCCCACCAGCGAGCCTCTGGGCAGCTCCTCGGGGATGGAGTAGCGGAGCCGCTCCGCCGCCGCCCGCCAGCACAGCGGCAGGAGCACGGCCAGCAACGCGACCCGCCCGGCGGCTGCCCAGCCCTGGGCTGCCGGTCTGACCTTCATTCTGTGGACGACTTTAGATTAGGCTTTCCCAGCAGCTGAACCGGTATCCGAGAGAAATAAATGTATGAAATCCCTGCTGCTGGTCGGAGCACGCCTGAGTCCAGCGGTTCTTGCTTTTCTCCCTGCTCTGCGCTGTGCGAAGCCGCAATGAGCGGGCGCCGGGGAGGAGCCGACGGCGGAGCTGCTTCTCCGCCTTGGCCAACAGTGACACCCTGAGTCCGTGTCTGAGAACCGCAGAGAACAGCTCGAAGGTCCTGCTCTGCAAGTCTTTCAATTAGTACGGATTGGAAAATAAAGAGGTAATCGGTACCGCGAAACAGAAACCTTCTCTTTGTGCTGGAAGGGTGCATCTAGGAATTCCCGTTGTTTGAATTCCTCACACTTGCAAGTCTTCTGCAGGACAAATCCTCCCCCGTTGCTTGAAGGATGTGCAGCAGGACTTTGATTTCTCCCCTGCTGTGATCTTACTGATCTCTTCAGTGAGGCGCGGGGTGTTCCCGCTGCCATCCTCTCACCGCCTTGAGAGAAAAGGCAGGACAGAGCGAACGTTGAGGCATTGCTCGAGGGTAGTTTATTTCTGATAGCTGAGAGACCCACAGCTAGCACTAAGTTTTCCCCCTTTGAACAGCAGTCACTGATTTCCAAGTAAAACCAGGAGTTCCAGCCATTGAGAAAACCACAGCGGTCACACCAGATCGGAGCCCATCTCTTTCGACTTTCAAAGCCCAGCATAATCATATCAGTACCATACAACTCAACACCGAATTCCTTTCATCTGTCTCCCACAAACCACGGCCGATACTGTAGCTGGTCTCCAACCTTAAGAATATTTTCTGGGAAATGTTGATGGTGGTTACCGTTGCTTAAACAATCAAAAGAGAATAGATAGATGCCTGACGGAAAGCTGTTGTACCTCACTTGTAAATTAGAACCTCGCCTCTCTTACAGCAGAGAAAAAAACAAACCCACAAACAAACAAACAAAAAACAACAAAAAAATCCTGAGGGAAGGCTGTATCATCACAGCCCCTTACGCAGAAGACAAGGAGAGATTAGAAAACTCTCCAATCTATCTACTCGGTAGACTGGCTCTTGCACATACACCAACGCTGCGTCTCTGCAGATGCCAGTGTCAAGACCTCCACAGGAAGGTATATTTAGAAAATATGTTTTCCTACTAACTTTGGTAGTTCAACCAGTGAAGAATAATTCCCTTTCCTCCAGCTGCACCTGTGTACAACTCACGGTAATGAATTAATAACCTTTGAGAACAGGAAGTGGATTTGAATTTGTAGCGTTTCAGAAGCCAAGAGGCAGAAATACTGTGAACATCTCTATATGAGGTCTAGTTTGCTGAAACCTGTCACCGCCAATTCACTACCTCCTTTATGGCGACAGTCGCCCGTAACAACCAAGACACACGTATTCATGCATCTTCACACACTGAGGTACCCTCCAAATCGCTGTTTTCCAGATTACCTCCCATTCAGAAATTAGCCACGCTATAAGGAGATAGTGATGAATCGTACTTTGTTTTTAAACCCTTTTAAAATGTATGTTCTAGGAGATATACTGTATTTCAATGACTGCGCCTGTACAGTAATCAACAAATACATTTGTATCGAATTCAAATGTTAAGCCTAGCAGCGGGAAAAAACTCGGTGGGCTATCAGAGGAATTCTGCACTATGTAACACGAACCTCTTCGTAAAACTTCGAGTGCCCTTAAGTAGGATTGATTAATTCTTTTGTTCATGGCAGATTTAGAAGAAAACTGAGACTTCAGAGGTGTTGGCTTTCAAGCTACAAGGTTGTCCAATTCTACCAGAATTTTAGAACTGATACAGAGATTACAATGAAATGCTGGGAAGTGGGTATTAGCAAGTACTAAAAAAAATTCGAAGAAGTGCCAGAAGAAGACAACAAGAAGACAAGAGTTTTCCTTGTGAAGTTACACATGCAACGGAAGCTTCCAGCCTTAGGGAAAGCAAGATAAAATGAGCTCTGGCTGGCAGTAGAGAACAGGACACATAAAACACACACAGCCGACACAGACACGTACAGCAGGTGACATTCACGGGCTGGTGACCGTCTTAAAACGTGATTTCCAGGACTGTGAACGGTGCACTGTGAAATGCCTGTTAAGAATCCTAAACACAAAATAAAGTTAAAAAATTAACGTACCTGAGAGGATGCTTGCCCACAGCTCTCGGCAGCTCGATCTGAAGTAACAAGATCATCGGAATCCGGATGATCAAAAGCTGTTGGTCGGACCGGGAGGGTGTCGCAGCAGCTGTCGGCCGAGAAGCGGAGGTGGCTCTTGCGCGAGTCGGCCGTGAGAGACACGTCGTGCGAGTAGGAGTGCAGGAAGGCGCGCACGCCGTCGATGCCCACGAAGTGCGTGGCCGGCACGCCGCGCAAGGCGCCGCTGCCCGCCGCCAGCAGCTGCTGCTGCGAGCGCCGCCAGCGCCGCAGGCGCAGCGCCAGCAGCAGCAGCAGGAAGGCGAGG